ATAAATGTATAATTACAAATTGTGGCAAGTCTATGGAGAGAAAGAACAGGGTTCTGTGAGAGACTTAGTTTGAATTAAGGAGGTCAGGGAAGGCTTCTCTGAAGTGAGATTTGAACTGAAATCTGAAGCATGACTAGAGGGAGATGTTCTAAGCAGAGGGAATGTGTAGATTAAGAGACAGCGAAGTTTGGGATGTGGGAAATACTAAAAAGCCCATGTGATGAGTATAGAGAATGATAGGAAGATAGCAGCAGATAATTCAGAATTGGCTGAGCCAGATTATGCAGTTTTATAGACTTCGTTAAGGAGTTTACATCTTACTCCAGGGCAGAGGGAAGCCACTGAAGCGTTCTGAGAAGAGTGACATACATAGATTAATTTTTAAATGTTCATCTTGGCTGCTTTGAATAGCATGGATTGAGGAAAGGCAAGATTAGATGTCGAGAGACCATTCAGATGACTATAGTAATCTGGACTAGAATGACACTTGTGATACAATTGGTCTCTCCGGATTTCCGATTTCCGTGAAGAACTGGAGCTACAGCCCGACACTGAGTAAAGTATCTTTCGTCTTGGTTGACTTTGGGCTCAGCAGGAGTGGCTCTTCCCATACTAGTGCTCCTAAACTCCAGGTCCGCACAATTCTCCACTTCAAAGCCAACCTCCCTACTGGCTTCTTTCTCACATCTAACTTTTCCTTGTGAACTCATTCCTAATCATGTTTATTCTTTTACATCTCTTCAATCAACCCTGCTTCTGCTTTTTATTTATCAGCCAGAACGCTTTGAACAAAATCAGCACTAGCACTCAGTTTACACATTTGGGGCTTCATTCTAAGGAAGAATGAGAAATACTAAGGAAAAGACTTTGTGTAACAGGTCCTCACCCCCCCCACCTCCAATTAATAATCAGACACTAAAATCATGTGGAGCTTTTTAACGACAGCTGCTCATTGTATTCGGGAAGGAGACCTATCACAGGTGAGGAATTATCTCCACTTTAAGGCCGACAGTAAAGGCCCGCAGTTCTCTCCCATCGCTCTGCAGACGCCCCGAGGACAGGCACCGGTGTCCCCGAGCCCTCTGCGGAGTCCTTGAGCGGGACCCCCGACCCGGCGCGGTCGCAACCAAGTGCGCAGATGCGACTCCAGACGGAGCCTCTGGCTCCACCCTTTTGTCTCCCCGCAGCTCCGTGGGTCCGGGAGGCGACTCTGTCCGCCCCTCTCGCCCCTCCCAGCGCGCAGCCCGGCGGGATCCAGCCCTGTGGCCGGAGCCGGGTCCGCAGCGCGTCCCGGGGTAAGAGAAAGCCGGGCCTGCGCACGGTCTCAGGGACCGCCCGTCCGTGTGAGCTGCTTTAACGCCTCCCGCCGCAGCCCGGGCCGGGCTCTCGGGTTCCGGCCTCGGCGTGGGAAGGGCTAGGCCCCGCCTGAGGCCCATGCCCTCCCCCTAGCTCACCCCGCGCTCCTCCCACTGGGTCTCGAGCCAGGTGTGTGGGGTTAGTTCTGAGAGAAGGGCGTCCCGGAAGCGGGGTTGCCGCTAAGCCCTCTGGGAAATGGAGTCCGGGAGCGTGAAGGGGGCGGAGCGGAGCGGGGGATGCTGGGAGCTGGAGTGCGGAGGTCTGAGGGCTCGGCTTCCAACGTGTGGAGTGAGTGGACCGCGTGCCTCCCGGTGGTTTTGGCCTTAAATCTTGTCGCTTCACCGAGAGCCTTAAGATTATGAAGTTTTGGGACAGAAAGGGAAAAATGGGGTCCGTGTCTTACTTATTCCCTTTCTGTGCTTTGCTCTGAGTTTTTGGGCCTGCCTGTATTTGGGGGCCAGTTCAAGGGGTTCGACTCTGAACGTGCAAGGGAATCTTTCAGAGTCTTGAAGAGCGAGTGAGAGATAGGCTGTATAAGCACCCCATCTATCAACTGCCTTGTGTTTATGAATAGCAAGGATGAACCAACTGTGGGAGCCCTGCTTGTAGTTACTGCTACCATAATCACAGGCCTCCTGTAGCCACTAGTGTGCTTTAGGGTCCTCATGGGAGTTTCTGCACGGTCTGGAACCAGGTGTGTGACAGAGGCTCACACTTCACTGCCCTGATTCTCTCCTGTTTTTGCCCTGGTGTGGCATGTAGTGACTGATCTTGGTACTCCAGAGGATGGTCTTCCAGCTGTGGAGATTAATTTAGCCTAAACAATAAAGGTTCCAAGCAAAGTCGAATTATTCTGAGCCCCTAGGATTTAAATGCATAGGGATAAGCCTCCTAGGAATAGAGAGAGAGGAAGATGCCCCAGGGAGCAGGAATCAGTTCCAGAGGAGGGCAAGCCTAACCTCAAAGTCTCCCTCCAGAGCTTCAGAGTAGAATTGAATGATTTACACAAAGAAGCAGATCACCTAATGGATCTGAAAACTCCATGTTTATCTCATCTGAAACAGTGAATAAGGAGGAAGCCATAGCAATAACAGGACGAAGTAGAGAAGCTGATTGTGGATTATCTGACCATTGAAGTTGAGCAGGAAGGTAAGAATTACAGAAACAAACATGGAGTTGAAAGTGGGGACAAGTGGAGGAAATAGCCTTGGTGAGAATGAAAAGGTTAGGTGCCCCCCAGTGATAGAAAAGGGAAGCAGACACATGTCAGGAGAAAGCCCGGAAGTAGAGAAACTCTCAGTGAGCTACCATGTTTGGAAATCACTAAGTGGGCTCCTTGTAACGCACTCTCCAGTCCCATTTTCCTCTTTCAGCACTTCTGTGCTCATCCACATTCCCTATGAAGCCGTGGAAAGGAGGATATTCCATAGTGCTTGCTTTTGTGATACAGGGCAGGTCACACTCTTCCACCCCCATTAGACTGTTCCAGAAGGTTGATGTATTGTGGGTCTGTGAGTTTTAACTTTTTGGTTAAAGCACTTTCACTTTATTATCTTCCCCTATCCTCATCTGAATTTTTTGAGTTAAATAATTATATATATAAGACTTTATATATATAATTCAGGTAGCTTGTGATAGCTTTTGTCCTAGTGAATTTGGAAGTGAGAAGATCGAGTTTACTTCCTTCATGGCTTTTTTCTTACTTCTTCCAGCCATGACTACTGAGGATGCTTCTCTGCCCCAAAAACAGAGCACAGAAGAAATGGAATCTGCTGTTGAGCTCCTTCCTGTTAAGTTCCAGGCGAGTTTGGGTTTAATTTCCCTCCCCTGAAATCTTGGCTTGGTGTTCACAGTGTGTCCTCGTTTCTTGCTTTATCTTGCTTCTGAGGTCCACGGAAATCCCATCTAGAGAACTGAACCAAAGTAATTTTTTCCTTGAAGACTTGAAGCTCTGGGGAGAGCTCAGGCTAGAGCTTTAAATTTGGGAATAATCTGTGTGGATGGTATTTTAAACCATGAAACTGATCAGTAAGGGAATGAGTGTAGATAGAAAAGAGATGAGATCTTATTACAGAGTCCTGTAGCTCTCCAACACTTAGAGGTCAGGGAGATGAAGAGGAACTAGCAAAGGAGACTGAGAAGATGTGGCCAGTGACGTAGGGGGAAGCCAAAAGTGTGGCAGCCTGGTAACCAATTGAAGAAGTATGTCAAGGAGGAAGGAATGATCAGCTGTGTTAAATGCTGCTGCTAAGTCAAGAAGATGAGGCCTGAGAATTGGCCATTGGATTTTTTATTTATTTATTTTTTTTCCCCCAAAGCCCCAGTAGATAGCTGCATGTCATAGCTGCACATCCTTCTAATTGCTGCACGTGGGACGCGGCCTCAGCATGGCCGGAGAAGCCGTGCGTCGGTGCGCGCCCGGGACCCGAACCCGGACCGCCGGCAGCAGAGCGCACACACCCAACCGCTAAGCCATGGGGCCGGCCCTGGCCATTGGATTTTAAAATATGAAGATCATTGGTGACTGCCGAGAGCAGTTCCATGGAGTGGTAGGAGTGAAGCCTGATTGGAATGGGTTCAAAAAAAAATAGGAGGATAGAAATTGGAGCCAGGGACTACAGATAACTATTTTGGAGAGTTTTACTCTAAAGGAAAGGAGAGAAGCTGGAAGGAGTAGTAAGACCAAAAAGTTTTTTTTTTTTTTCCCTAAAGACAGGAGAAATAACAGATTGTTTATGGGTATGTAAGAGTGAATGGAGACGAGAAGATGTCTAAGGACTGAGCTCTGGAGAACTCCAACATTTAGAGCCACTTTTCAAACATTACTTTATTTTAAATAAATAATCCTGTGAGTTAGGGGTGATATCTGTTTCACAGATGAAGAAGCTGAGGCTCACAGTAGCATGCTCAGAATCATAAATGGTTGAGCCCTGATAGAACCCAGGTATGTCTCATTCTAAATCCTGTGTCTCTAACTATGCCATTCTTTTGACTGACTTTCCCACAAGTACTCTCCAGTTAATTATGGTCAAGAAAGTCCACTCACATGACTGTCAATATACATAAAGTATGAATCTTATCTTAGAACATTTGATCATTTTCAATTTAAAATCAGTAAATTCACTCTTTCAGAACAACTTTAATTAGTAAAGGATAACTAAATAAATCTCAAAGTCATAGCCCTAAGTACAGAGAAAGAAGGAGCCTCTGCTAGAGCAGTGTGACGATCTATATGCGTTCAGGATATCAAGCTGAATTTCTATAAAATCTCAGAATATTCCAGGAATCGGTATAAATTACATATCTGAGCCTTATCCCATCTACAACATAATCAGTAATTAACATTTGTTTATCATTCAATGGTTAATTTATATTACATTTATTTAACAAAATATGTAAGAGGCAGAAGAATATAGTTAAGAGTATAGCTTTTGAGTCAGACTGTCTGGGTCTAAATCTCAGATCTGATCCTGACATCTGTAGATAATGTTAATAATAGAACTTACCTCATGTAGTTACTATTACGAGAGATAGTTCATTCAGAGGACTTAGCCTAGAAAGTAAATTACAAATGTTAGCTATTATTATTCTTTTCCCTACCACAGTTTAATACTTGGAAATTTTAGATTTTTCCCTTAAAATGGTTAAAATAAAGATTTAACCTTTAGATTAAAAAACACTTCCTCTTCTATATTGTTCTCTTCCCTCAAGGATTACCAAGCCCTAGAAGAATGTGCTTGTACTTCCAGGAGTTGGTGACAGTCGAGGATGAGGAAATGGACTTCACCCATGTGCAGGTGGAACAGCTGAATTCTGCCCAAAGGTACATGGGTGTGGATATGAAGATGGAGAATTGTGGAAGCCTGGTATTTTGGGGTAAGGAAGTCATTTTGTAATGCAGAGTGCTTGCTGAGATGTAAACCTCCTTAATAACTAATGGCATATAAAATGCCATAGTTTTGCTTATGATCTAGAGAGCCCTGATCCCCTAGGGGATCCCTCATAACTTTGAGCTCAGAATTGGGCTTCTTTTCTCTTTTGGCTAGTAAAAGTCACCATATGTGGAAGTGGAAAAGAACAGCTTCATTATTATTGATTTAAGACTTATAAAGCTACAGTAATTCAAACAGTGTGGTATTGGTGAAAGGATAGATGTAAATCAGTGGAACAGATCAGATAGTCCAGAAATAGACCCACACTTATATGATCAATTAATTTCCAGCAAAGATGCAAAAGCAATTCAGTGTTAAAAAGAGAATCTTTTCAGTTAATGGTGCTGGAACAATTGGACACCCATATTAAAAAACAAAAACAAACCTCAATCTATACCTCCCTCCATGTGTAGTAAGTAACTCAAAATGGGTCACAGATCTAAGTATAAAATCTAAAACTATAAAACTTCTAGAAGAAAACATTAGGGATAGTCTTTGTGACTTTTTGTAAGGCAAAGTTTTATTATATATGACATCAAAAGCTCGATCCAGTAAAGCCATCTGGATCTCCAGTTTGCTTTGTTGGAAGGTTTTTAACCTTGAATCTAAGTCCTTTGCTCGATATAAGACTATTCAGATTATCTGTTTCTTGTTGAGTAAGTTCTGGGAATGATTTCCCATCTTTCATTCCTGATCTTGGTAATTTGTATCGTCTCTCTTTTTTCTTTGTTGGTCTTCCTAGAGGTTTAACAATTTTATTGATCTTTTCAGAGAACCAGCTTTTGGTTTCATTGATTGTCTCTATTTTATGTTTTCAATTTTATTTGTTGCTACTCTTATCTATTATTTTCTTCCCCTTTGCTAACTTTGTGTTTAATTTGCTCTCTTTTTTTAGTTTCTTAAGGTGGAAGCTTAATCATTAATGTAAGATGTTAATATAATATAACACAGTCATGTGCCACATAGTGACCTTTTGGTCAATGATGGACCACAGATATGATGGTGGTTCCATAAGGTTAGTACCATATAGCCTGGATGTGTAGTAGTCTATACCATCGAGGTTTGTGTAAGTACACTCTATGATGTTGGCACAATGATGAAATCGCCTAACAATGCATTTCTCAGAATGTATCCCTGTCATTAAGTGACACATGACTGTATAATGTAATATCTCTCTTATTATGTCTTGATCATTAATATAAGATCTTCATATAATATAATATCTTTATTCTCTTCTAATATGAACATTTAATGCTATAAATTTCCTTCTAACTGCTTTAGCTATGTTCTACAATTTTGATATGTGGTATTTTCATTTCCATTCAGTTCACAATAATTTCTATTTTCATTTGTGACTTTCTCTTGGACTCCTGTGTTGTTTACAAGTTTCCAAATTTTAGGTGTTTTTCAATAAATTTCTAGTTTTGATTTTGTAGTTTGGTTCTGCTGTGGTCAGAGATGCTTTGTGTGATTTCAGTTCTTTAAAATTTTTGAGGTTTGTTGTATCATCCATAATATAATTTTGATAATCGTTCCATGTGCACTTGAAAATAAATATCGATTATTGTCAGGTTGGTTGACAGTGTTGTTCAAGTCTTCTGTATCCTTACTGATTTCCTGTCTACTGGTTTCTATTGATTACTGACAGAGGAGTGTTGAATTCTCCAACTATACTTGTGGATTTGTCTATTTCTCCTTTTAGTTCTATTAGTTTCTGCTTAATGTATCTTGAAACTCTTTTGTTTGGTACATACACATTAAGAATTGTTATGTCTTCTTGGTGAATTGACCTCTTTATCATATAATGTCCCTCTTTAACCTTGGTAGTATTCCTTGTTTGGAAGTTTATTTTGTCTGATATTAATATAGCCACTCTAGCTTCCTTTTAATTAGTGTTTGCATAGTATATTTTTCCATTCTTTTTGTTTAACTTATTTAAAGTGAGTTTCTTGTGGACAGCATATAATTGGGTCTGGTTTTTAAATCCATTCTGACAATCTCTGTGATTTGCTATTGGTGTGTTAGGCTATTTACATTTAAAGTAATTATTGGTAGGGCTGGCCTGGTGGTGCAAGTGGTTAAGTGCGCGCGCTCAGCTGCTGATTCGGATCTCAGGTGCGCACCGACGCACCGCTTGTCAAGCCATGCTGTGGTGGCGTCTCATATAAAGTGGAGGAAGATGGGCACGGATGTTAGCCCAGGGCTGATCTTCCTCAGCAAAAAGAGGAGGATTAGCAGATGTTAGCTCAGGGCTGATCTTCCTCACAAAAAAAATAAATAAATAAAGTAATTATTGGTATGGTTGGGTTTAAATCTTCCATATAGCTAGTTGTTTTCTATTTGTTCCTTCTTTTTCTTCATTTTTTTCTTTTGCTGCCTGTTTTTTGATTATTTTTTATTACTCAATTTTATCTCCACTGTTAGCTTATCATTAAACCTTAATTTTAAAGATTTTTTTAGTGGTTGTCCTAGAGTTCCCAATATGCTTCTTTAATTAATCACAGTGTACCTTTACAGAATATTATACCACTTCACATACATTATATAAACCTTACTTCTATAAACTTCGAATTACTCCCTCCCATCTTTTGTGTAGTTGTTGTCATGCATTTTACCTTTACATATGCTATAAATCTACAATATATGCTACTATGTTTGTTTAAGACAGTCAGTTATCTCTTGGAGCAATTTAAAATAAGAAAAAATGAATTTTTTTTTTCATTTCTAGCACAGTTCATTTTTTATATAGAGCAGGGGTTGGCAAACTTTCTCTATAAAGGACAAGATAGTAAATATTTTCTCTTTTGTGGGCCATACACTCTCTGTTGCAACTACTTAACTCTGCCATTTTAGCATGAAGACAGCCATAAACAATATGTAAACAAATGAGGTGGCCAGATTTGTTCTATGGTGAACCAGATTTGGCCTGTGGGCCATAATTTGCTGAGCCTTAGTATAGATCCAAGTTTTTGACTGCTATCAGATACCTTCTGCCTGAAGAACTTTCTTTAACATTTCTTATAGTGCAGCTATAAGCTTTTGTTTGTCTGAAAAAGTCTATATTTAATCCTCATTTTTGAAAGATATTTTCACTGAATATGAAATTCTTGGTGACAGGTTTTTTTCCGGCACCCTAAATGTGTCACTTTATTGTTTTCAGGTTTACAATAGTTTGTGACCAAAAGTTTCTGTAATTTTTATCTTTGTTCTTCTATATGTAATGTATCTTTTTTCTATGGCTGCCTTTAAGATTTTCCCTTTATCTTTGCTTTTAAACAGTTTGAATGTGATGTATCTAGGTGTATGTGTGTGTGTATTTCATCGTACTTCGGGTTGTCTGAGCTTCCTTGGATCTTTGGTTTGATGTCTTTCATTAGTTTCAGAAAATTATCAGCTATTAACTCATCAAATATTGTTTCTGCTTATTCTCTTTGCCTCTTCCCCTTCCAGGATACCAATTACATGTATGTTTGAGCGTTTGATATTGTCCCACAGCTCTTAGATGCTCTCTTCTGGCTTGTTAGTTTGTTTTTCACTCTTTTTTCCTCTTTGTGTTTTTGTTTGGGTAATTTCTCTTGACCTATTTGTGAGTTTACTGATTCTTTCCTTAGCTCTGTTGACTCTACTGGTGTACCCATCAAAGACATTATTCATCTCTGTGACCATATTTTCTCATTTCTAGCATTTCAATTTGACTTTTTGTTATAGTTTCCATCTCTCTGCTAAAATTCCCCAACTGTTAATGCACATTGTCCACCTTTTCCACTAGAGCCTTTTACATATTAATCATAGTTATCTTCAGTTCCCTTATAGTTCTAATTTCTGGGTAATCATTGAATTTGGCTCTGTTGATTACTCTGACTATGGTTTTGTACAATTAGATTTGGATGGGGTTGGGGAGGGGTGCGTGGAGAGAGGATGCAAGCAGACCCGTTATGAGGCTGCTACGTTAGTTTAGGTGAGAGAGGGTGGTGGCTGAATTGGGGTGGTAATAGTGGGGAGGGAAAGTACAGAATGGATTTGAGAGAGATTTGGGAGATATAATCCATAAAACTTGGTTTATTTGTTGTGATTGGTAGGGTAGAGGGAAGAGTTCAATATGATTCTCAAGTTTCCGACTTTCAGCTGGAAAACCTTTTTGGGCTTTTGTGAGGATTAGATATGTACATATGTTTAACCTTTCAGAATAGTAGCTTACACATAATAAACACTATATAAGTATTTGTCTAACATAGTTCACAGCATATATTAAACTTTATGTACGATGATATTCTCAACTTCTGAAAATCATGGCAGCATTAGAAATATATTTTACTCAAACATCAGTTATGTTTCTATAATGGGAGAAAGGATCTTAAGAAAGGTTTGTCATCATCCAGAGTTGCCTCATTGCTTGTATTATTTGTGTTCAACTCAGTTCATACAACATATATTTAACATACTAGCACTATGATGGGCCCTGAGAAATATCAGTGAACAAAAGAAGTGTGATTCCTATCCTCAGAAAACTTACCTTTTGATAGTAGAGTTTATATTCTTATATTAATGTCTTTTTATTAACAAGAACGATGGTGGTGATATTTTCTTAGACAATGAAACCTGGGGAATGTACCGCTTGAGGAAGAAGATGAGTTTGGGTATGGACATAATGAATTTGAGATTTCCAAGTGAATACATGAAGTAGATAGTTGAATATATGGGTGTGGGGGACAGAGAACTAAGCTGGAGATATGGATTTGAGATCATTGATATATAGAAGGCAATTGCAACTAGTAGATAAATAAGTCCTGGAGATCTAATGCACAGTATAGTGAATATAGACAACAACAGTGTATTATAATCATCAAACTTGCTAAGAGACTAGGTCTTAATTATCCCCATTGCAAAAAAGAAATCATAATTATATGATATGATAGAGGTGCTAACTATTGCTACAGTGGCAATCATATTACAATATATAAATGTATCAAATCAACATGTTGCATACCCTGAATTTACACAATGTTATATGTCAAATATATTTCAATAAAAAAGGCAATTAAAGCCATGGACTGGATGATGTCTTTAAAGGAGACAATGTGAGGGCCGGCCCCGTGGCTTGGCAGTTAAGTGCGCGTGCTCCACTGCTGGCGGCCCGGGTTCGGATCCCAGGCGCGCACCGATGCACCACTTCTCCGGCCATGCTGAGGCTGCGTCCCACATACAGCAACTAGAAGGATGTGCAGCTATGACGTACAACTATCTACTGGGGTTTTGGGGGAAAAAAATAAATAAAAATAAAATTTTTGGGCCGGCCCCGTGGCTTAGCGGTTAAGTGCGCGCACTCCACTGCTGGCGGCCCGGGTTCGGATCCCAGGCGCGCACCGATGCACCACTTCTCCGGCCATGCTGAGGCCGCGTCCCACATACAGCAACTAGAAGGATGTGCAACTATGACGTACAACAATCTACTGGGGCTTTGGAGGGAAAAAAATAAATAAATAAAATCTTTAAAAAAAAAAAAGTATTAAAAAAAAAAAAGGAGACAATGTGGCGGGGGGAGTGGGGGCAGGGGCAAAAGAGAGGAGCCTAAGACTGAACACTGAGAAGCATCAACATTTAAGAAGAAGAAACAGCAGAAAAAGTTCCAAAGAAATAGAGATCAGGAGAAAAACCTGGAAAGCTTAGAATCATAGAGTCAGGAGAGAATATATGTCAATTATATCTGAATAAAGTTGGAAAAAAAAGGGAGGATGTTGTTAGGGGGGCACGGTCAACACTGTCAAGTGCTGTTGAGAGGCCAAGCTAAATAAGGAATGAGAAGGATCCGCTGGATTTAGGTGACCTACAGAAGGTTAGTGACATCAATGAGAGCAGTTTCAATCGAGTGGTAGGGAGAGAAACCATGCTGCAGTGAGTTCAGGAGCAAGTATGTGATGAGAGAAGGTACAAAATCTGTTTGACAAATTTTGCTATGACAAAAAAAAAAAAAGGAAGGAAGGAGAAAGAAGAAAGAAAGGGAGAGGGAGGGATGGAGGGAGGGAGGAAGGAAGGAAAGAAGGAAGGAGGGAGTTGTGGTTAGTGGAGAAGCAAAATAGTATTTAAAGCATATGCTAAACAAACAAAAAATCTGTGCCTTTAAAAAAAGACTGAAGGAAATGATTTAAAAAGTCAAAAGTGGTTGTCTCCAGCTGGTATTATTATAAGTGATTTTTTGTCTAATACTTTTTCAAAACTGCCCAATCTCAACCTGTGTTTTCATCTTTCTCCTCCTTTCTCAGTTATTTTATGTTAACATTTATTCTCCTCCCTTCTGCTTATCCTCCTCCCTGGTTAGTCTGTTCAGTTTTCCATTCTCTTAGGTAGAGCATCCTCATTGTCTGACCTTTTGTTGTGCCTTATATTATTCTTCCATCTCTGTTATCCCTGAAACTTCTTCATCCACTGTTGCCACGAGGCTCTTTCTGAAAACATTCAAGTAAACTTTTTTTTTTTTTGTGAGGAAGATCGGCCCTGAGTTGACATCTGGCAATCCTCCTCTTTTTGCTGAGGAATACTGGCCCTGGGCTAACATCCCATGCCCATCTTCCTCCACTTTATATGGGACGCTGCCACAGCATGGCTTGACAAGCGGTGCGTCAGTGCGCATTCGGGATCTGAACCGGCAAACCCCGGGCCGCCGCAGCAGAGCGCGTGTACTTGACCACTTGTGCCACCGGGCTGGCCCCTCAAATAAACATTTTTAATAGGCATCACTTTTATTTTCTTTATTCTCTTGCCATGTCAGCAGTTTTCCTTCTCTCAGCGCAGAGAACACAAACGCTTGTACTTTTTATTTATTTCAGATTCTCAATCTATACCTGAAACTAAAGTGTCCCTTTCAAAGCAGGAAGTTTATGAAGAAGTATCATCTGAAAGGGAGCTGATAGTAGAAAGACTTAAAAAGGATGATTCCTGGGACTCCAGATTGATAGAAGCCTGGGAATGTGAAGGCACATTGGAAAGGCAGCAAGGAAATCAGAAGAAAGATTTAAAGCAAGTCATAATTAAACACAAGAAAACCCCTAAGGAAGATTGTAATGATATGGGGGAAAGTTCAATCCCAGTTAAATATCAGAAGGTTTACTCAGTGAAAAAGCCTTGGAAGTGCAATGAGTGTGGGAAGTCCTTCACTTACTACTTAGCCTTTATCCTACATCAGAGAATTCATACAGGAGAGAAGCCCTATGTATGCAATGAATGTGGAAAGGCCTTCAGTCGGAGCTCATCACTTATTCAGCATTGGAGAATTCACACTGGAGAGAAACCCTATGAGTGTAACGAATGCAGGAAAGCTTTCAGTCATTGCTCAACCCTTATTCAACATCATATCATTCATACGGGAGAAAAGCCCTATGAGTGCAATGAATGTGGGAAGGCCTTCAACCAAAGTACCTACCTTATTCACCACCACAGGATACACACTGGAGAGAAACTCTATAAATGCAAAGAATGTGGGAAAGCTTTCAGTGACACCTCATCCCTTATTAAACATCAAAGACTTCATACAGGAGAAAAGTGCTATGGATGTAAAGAGTGTGGGAAAGCCTTTAGTGACAGCTCAGGCATTACTCAACATCAGAGAACTCATACAGGGGAAAAGCCACATGAAGGTAGCAAATGTGGGAAAGCTTTTAGTTACTGTTCAGCTGTCATTCAACATCAAGGAACCCATACTGGGGAAAAGCCTTACAAATGTAATGAATGTGGGAAAGCTTTCAGTGACCGCTCAGCTCTTGTAAGACATCAGAGAATTCATACTGGAGAGAAACCTTACAAATGTAAAGAATGTGAGAAAGCCTTCAGTCAGAGCTCTTCCCTTACAAAGCATCTGAGAACTCATTCTGGAGAGAAACTGTATAAATGTAATGATTGTAACAAAGCCTTTAGCCAGAGTTCATCTCTTATTCAACACCAGAAAATTCATACAGGAGAAAAACCCTACAAATGTAAGAAATGTGAGAAAACCTTCAGTGTGTGCTCAGCCTTTCATCAATATAAAGAAATTCATGATGAATGGAATGCAGTGAATTCATGAAATAATTAAGTATTTTCTCCTGATTGTATAGACCTGTTCTAAATATTACAGGGTATATTACAAAAACATGAGGCTGTGTCACACAAAAACTAGCCCTGTTCCTGGAAATGTTATTAGATACGGAAGAGGACAAGAGATACATGTGGATATCTCAGTTACAAAATCAGAATAGCTGGAGCAGTGGAGAAGAGAATTGCTAGGGAAGTACAGAAGGAGAAAGTCTAGTTTAGTCAGAGAAACAGAATAAAGAGCTAAGCATCTATATCAGTAGGAAAACTAATCAGAGGAGCAGACTGAGCATTACTTGAGGCTGATAACTCTCTAAATAGTAGTTTCAACCTGAAACCAAAGTGGGGAGGATCAGGATCCCAAAGAGGAAAATTACCAGGAGGTTTCTCTAGGGAAATAAAAAGAAAAAAATCTAAGCCCAGAAAATCCTCCTTTCTCTGTCCCTACACTCCACTTGTTCACTTGCACATTTGCAGACATTTAAACCAGTGATTATGAACCCTGTATGCACATTGAAGTCATCTGGGAAGCTTTAAAAAAATACCTGGATCCCAGCCTCAGAGATTCTGAAAATTGGACTGGGGTGTAGCTTAGGCATCAGGAATTTTTAAAACTTCTCAAGTAGTTCCAACGTGCAGCCCAGATTAAGAACCACTGATTCAGACTCTTTCTGCACAAAGATCAACTTAATAAGATAGGAGGGTTACAGGCAGCCGAAAGGATAATGACAGTCTACATTAGCTCTCAAGAGCTCTTTGTGTCCTTGTTGCTGCTTTTTCTTTCTCTTGCTAATTATATAACGTCATCTTTTTGGACTGATTTTGGATCCTTCTGCTTGGACCTTTTTTGTTTTTTCTGTCTTGTGTGTGAACTGACCTGCCTGATACTAACTTCTGCTCTGACCATGAATCTTGCTAAATGTGTTCCTTGAAGCCTGGTTATAGCTTTCTCAACCATTTCTACCTACCAGGGTCATATATTGTGCTTGCTACCCATGGCTCAGTGGTAGCAAAAATTAACTGTAATAAATAAGTTTAGAGGAGGACCTAAAGACCAGAAATTAGGAGTGAAGACAGAGTGACGGGAAAGGACTTTCAAAGAGTTAAACTTTTGACTCCAACTGTATAGTTTGTATCTTAGAATTTCCAGAAATTATAATAAAATTTAGTTGCATGCATAAATTAATACTGAATTTTAAGGGATGTAGGTGGGAGGAAGTGTAAATCAGGAATGTTCCTGTATTTAACATGAAGTACAATAGTAACTCTAAGGAGATTATGAGAAGTTACAGATGATATCATAATCCCTATAGAACATCCATTAACAGATAATGCAAGTAGAGGAATTTAGTTACATACTAAAAAGTGTTTAACCCAAAAGAAGGCGGGAAAGGAGGAAGAGAGAAGCAAAGAAAGATGAGACAAATAGTAAACTGATAGCAAAATGGTAGACCTAAATTCAACCATGTGAGTAATTACATTAAATGTAAAAGAGACACCTCTGATAAAACTCAGAGATTGTCAGACTGGATAAAGAAGCCTAACTCAACTATATCCAAAAGAGGCACACTTTAAATACAGAAACACTTACAGGTTGAAAGTTCAAAAGATGAACAAGGATATACATTGAAAACACTAGGCATAAGAAAGTTGGAGTTGATATATTAATATCAGATAAAATAGAATTCAAGAAGAGGGATATTATCGTAGATATAGAAGGACATTTTATAATTATAAAAGGGTCAATTCATCAAGATTAGTAATTGTTATAATGTGTAACTGGGTTACAATTATGAATATGACTTACGTTATAAATATATTTATCATTAAAAATATTTTATTGAGGTCACATTGGTTTATAACATTGTGTAAAGTTCAGCTGTACATCATTATATTTTGGCTTCTGTATAGACTGCATCGTGTTCACCACCAAAAGTTTAGTTTCCATCTGTCACCATACATGTGTGCCCCTTTACCCCTTTTGCCCTTCCCCTACTCTCTTCCCCTCTGGTAACCACCAATCTATTCTCTTTATCTATGTGTTTATCTTCCACAACTGAGTGAAATCATATGGTATTTGTTTTTCTCTGTCTGACTTATTTTGCTTAGCATAATATCCTCAAGTTCTGTCCATGTGGTCACAAATGGCATGATTTCATCTTTTTTTTATGGCTGAGTAGTGTTCCATTGTACCACTTCTTCTTTATCCATTCATCCATTGATAAGCACTTGGGTTACTTTCAATTCTTGGCTGTTGTGAGTAATGCTGCGATGAACATAGGGGTGCATATATCTTTCCAAATTAGTGTTTTCATGTTCTTTGGATAAATACCCAGAAGTGGACTAGCTGGATCATATGGTATTTCTATTTTTAATTTTTTTTGAGAAATCTCCATACTGTTTTCCATAGTGTCTGCACCAGTTTGCATTCCCACCAGCAGTTATGAGGGTTCCCTTTTCTCCACATCCTCTCCAACACTTATTTCTTGTTAATTATAACCATTTTGACGGTTGTGAGGTGATATCTCATTGTAGTTTTGATTTCCATTTCCCTGATAATTAGTGATGTTGAACATCTTTTCATGTGCCTTTTGGCCATCTTATATCTTCCTTGGAAAAATGTCTGTTCATATCCTCTGCCCATTCTTTGATCAAGTTGTTCATTTTTTTGTTGTTGAATTGTATGAGTTCTTTATATATTTTTGAAATTAACCCCTTGTCAGATATATGATTTGCAAATATTTTCTCCCAGTTGGTGGGTTGCCTTTTCCTTTTGTTGATGGTTTCCTTTTCTGTGCAGAAGGCTTTTAGTTTGATGTAGTCCCATTTATTTATTTTTTCTTTTGTTTCCCTTGCCTGAGGAGACATGGTATTCAAAAAGATACTGCAAAGACCAATGTCAAAGAGCATACTGCGTATGTTTTCTTCTAGGTGTTTTATGGTTTCAGGTCTTACATTCAAGTCTTTAATCCATTTTGAGTTAATTTTTGTGTGTGGTGTAAGATAATGGTCTACTTTCATTCTTTTGCTGTGGCTGTCCAGTTTTCCCAACACCATTTATTGAAGAGACTTTCCTTTCTCCACTGTATGTTCTTGGCTCCTTTGTTGAAGATTAGCTGGCTGTAGATGTGTGGTTTTATTTCTGGGCTCTCAATTCTGTTCCATTGATCTGTATGTCTGTTTTTGTGCCAGTACCATGCTGTTTTGATTACTATAGCTTTGTAATATGTTTTGAATTCAGGGAGTGTGATACTTCCCGCTTTTTTCTTAGGATTGCTCTGGCTATTTGGGGTCTTTTGTTGTTCCATATAAATTTTATGATTCTTTGTTCTATTTCCATGAAAGATGACATTGGGATTCTGATTGGTATTTTTTTTTTTTTTGAGGAAGATCAGCCCTGAGCTAACATCCATGCCAATCCTCCTCATTTTGCTGAGGAAGATTGGCTCTGGGCTAACATCCATGCCCATCTTCCTCCACTTTATATGGGACGCTGCCACAGCATGGCTTGACAAGCGGTGCGTTGGTGCGCACCCAGGATCCAAACCTGGGCTGCCAGCAGCGGAGTGCATGCACTTAACCACTATGCCATGGGGCTGGCACCCTCTGATTGGTATTGCACTGAATCTGTAGATTGCTTTAGGTAATATGGGCATTTTAATTATGTTTATTCTTCCAATCCATGAGCATGGAATATCTTTCCATTTCTTTATATCTTCTTCAGTTTCTTTCAATAATGTCTTATAGTTTTCAGTGTATGGGTTTGTCATCTCCTTCATTAAATTTATTCCTAGGTATTTTATTTGTTTTTTTTTTCTTTCTTTCTTTTTTTTGTGAGGAAGATCAGCCCTGAGCTAACATCCATGCCAATCCTCCTCTATTTGCTGTGGAAGACCGGCCCTGAGCTACTGCCAATCCTCCTCCTTTGTTTCCCTTTTTCTCCCCAAAGCCCCACTAGATAGTTGTATGTCATAGTTGCACATCCTTCTAGTTGCTGTACGTGGGATGCGGCCTCAGCGTGGCCAGCAAGCGGTGTGTCAGTGCGTGCCCGGGATCCGAACCCGGGCCGCCAGCAGCGGAGTGCGTGCACCTAACTGCTAAGCCACGGGGCTGGCCCCTATTCGTTTTTTTAATTGTAAATGGGATTGTATTCTTGATTTCTTTTTCTGCTAGTTCATTGTTAATGTATAGAAATGCAACTGAATTTCATATATTGATTTTGGACCCTGCAAATTTACTGTATTCATTAATTATTTCTAATAGTTTTTTGGTGGATTCTTTAGGGTTTCTGTGTATAGAATCATGTCATCCACAAATAGTGACAGTTTTACTTCTTCCTTTCCAATTTGGATCCCTTTAATTTTTTTTCTTGCATAATTGCTCTGGCTAGGACTTCCAATACTATGTTGAATAAGAATGGTGAGAATGGGCATCCTTGTCTTGTTCATGTTCCTCAAGGAATAGCTTTCGGTTTTTCCCTGTTGAGTATGATGTTGGCGGTGGGTTTGCAATAAATGGCTTTTATTAAGTTGAGGTACTTCTCTTCTACACCCATTTTATTGAGAGTTTTTATCATAAGTAGATGTTGGATCTTGTGTAATACTTTCTCTGTGTCTATTGAGATGATCGTGTGATTTTTTATTCTTCATTTTGTTAATGTGTTGTAGCACATTGATTGATTTTCAGATCCTTTTAATGTATTGTTATATTCAATTTGCTAATACTTTGTTGAGGATTTTTTGCATCTATGTTCATCAGTGATATTGACCTGTAATTTTCCTTTTTTGTGTTGTCCTTGTCTGGTTTTGGCATCAGGGTAATGTTGGCCTCATAAAGTGAGTTAGGATGCATCGTGTCCTCTTTGATTTTTTGGAAGAGTTTGAGAAGGATAGGTGTTAAATCTTCGTTGAATATTTTGTAGAATTCAGCAGAGAAGCTGTCTGGTCCTGGACTTGTGTTTTTTTGGGAGGTTTTTGATTACTGTTTCAATCTATTTACTTGTGATTGGTCTATTCAGATTCTCTATTTCTTCTTGATTCAGTTTTAGAAGGTTGTATGATTCTAAGAATTTATCCATTTCTTC